GTATTGAACTATTTCACACAATTCTTACACATAATGAGAAAAGGCAGACAAGACTAACAAGTAAAACCCATCTCATTTGTAATTTAGTCTAATTTGAGCAATGACACAAAATTTCCACAAGGGGGCGCTAATGTGCTGTGAAATTATGGTAAACATTTTCCAGCACAAATAAATCACTTTGTTTCTTCTATAATGTTGGAAAAAAAAATCCAAACATCAAATTTAAATCAACCAGCTAAAACTGTCTTGCTTTAAAATACAATGTATTTATTTATGACCTAAATCTTCATCATCTTCTAACAAATAAATAATATATTTTTACATCGAATCAGAAAGACCTAAGAATTCTCTCTAGTAGTTTTATTTGTAAATGTGTTTTACGTCCAGCACGTTTCATTAAAGAAAAGGCAGACAAGACTAACATTAAGTAAAACCAATCTCATTTTTAATTTAGTCTAATTTGAACAATGACACAAAATGCCCACAAGGGGGCGCTAATGTGCTGTGAAATGATGGTTTTGCTTGATGGAAATTTTACAAAAAAAAAAGCATTTTCTCAGCACAAATAAATCACTTTGTGTTTCTTCTATTATATAATGTTGAAAAAATCCAAACTTCAAACAGAAATCAACCAGAAAAAAACTGTAATGCTTAAAAAATACAATGTATTTAATAATGACCTAAGTCTTTATCATCTTCTAACAAATAATATATATTTTACAACGAATGAGAAAGAGCTAAGAAGTAACTCTAGTAGTTTTATTTTATCATTATTATTAATATTTTTGAAATGCTACATCAGATATTGCTCTTTATGTTTGAGCAACATCTGGAGGTCTTCTAGAGCCAGCCTGCAGTGAGACCAGTCTCTGACAACTGTTTAGCTGCAAAAAAGACAGCAACAGGGGAACCATATTTATAAAATGTTTGTATTGGGAGTGTCATTATTTTTGAAATGCTACATAAGAACTTGCTCAGAAATGTTGAGGAACATCTAGAGGTCTATGGAAGAATTATCCTGACTTAATCCAAGAGCGTATATTTTCAGTTTGAGAGCAGGATAATATGTCTTTGCTCTCAAAACTTAAAATGCTCTCTCTCAAACCTTTCCTTTCTCACTCAGAATTTCTCCTCACGCTCAAACTTTCTCCCTGTACAAATCCAAACTGCACTCACAAACCCCACTTTTCTGCTTGTGTCAGAGTTTATGACAAGAATTTTGTTATTTTATTTATTTATTGCCCTGGGCAAAATTTGTCTATGGCCATTCCTTTAGCATAGCTTCTTTTTAAAGTGATCCACCAGTTTGTAAACAAAAATATATGAGTGATTTTGCTAAAAGTCAAATCAGACGAACAAAGACATGAGCGATTACACTATCGCCCACATTTCATGGTGATAAACAAACGTTGGCATCATAACTTCAGGTACTACAGTATGCATTGATTTGTTTACTGTGGATTATGTGACTATCCTTTTAACACAGCTGGTTGGTCGATTGTTTGGGGAATATGTGAGACGTTATTAATAAAATATGTTCTTTACTCCCATCGTCCATTCACCCACTTCCAGATTTTTAATTTACAGCACTTTAAAACTCAGGTGTGGGGTTATAAAGGTAAAAACAAGTCATGTGATTAGAAGCTTACAAAAAGCTACATATTAGATTTTGTACAGATTATTTTGTCATACAGGAGGTATTGCCGTCCACTATCAGATGCTTGCTCAATTGTTTTTTTCCCTCCCAATGATGTTGGTTCAAAAGTGATCAAATGTAGCTTTTGTTTCAACATATTAAAATTAGTTCAGATTTTTTAAGTGATTACCTTTGATTTTCCAGATTAGCATTTAAACTGGAAATTTGATCGTAGATGTACTTTTGAAATGATGATGTCTTACTTTCATTAAAGTTTCTCAAAGAACTAATAATGTTGTAATTTCCCAGCTTTTGCAAAACCTTTTCATCCCACAGGAGCCACTCTGGACTGTAGTGACCCCATGAGGCAACAATGCTTCATGCAGCTTGAAGAAATCCTGTTAACATGTTAAGATCACATCTTCCCCCCTCAGTGTGAGGTGGTGTTTTCTCAGCAGTGCAGGGTCAGTGAGGCTCTTCAGATGGCTGGGGTGACACACACACACACACACACACACACGTTGGCAGTGAATGCACCACGCCTGCAGGTCCTCAAACAGAGCAGAGATGGTCTCTGAACTTCACACACACAGACACCATCAAAGGCGAGCGAGGACAGCAGGGAGCATRCCGGAGGACCTGAGGTCAGCACATTGTGTTGACAAGGCCGAGCGTTCCTTTGGAACCGATCAGCAGATATTTTCAGTTTCTGCTGCAAACAGAAACAAAAAGGACAAATCAAAACATCTTCAGAGGCTGTGGAGGGAAGATTGAAAGAGTTTTAGCAACTCATATTTGCTAAGAGCTGCTCATGAGATTTTGCTGACAGTACAAACAGGCCATGGATACCAGCAACAATTACARTGAGTCACTTTTTGCATTTCAGGCAACTTAAAACGATAAGAAACCTTTTCAAGTTGTATTTTGTTGGAACGGTTTGACCTCAAGCAAAACAAAATCCATTATGTGGTTTTGACAGGACTTAGCTAGTCTTTTAGGAATGTTCTTCAAGAGCAGAAGCCTCACACTTTGAAGAAAATACCAAACACCAGCATTTCTCATAAACCCTGCATGCAAGATTCAAACCAACAAAGGGATTTTCAGGACTAGACGGATTTAAATGCTCAACTTCTGACATCAACATAGTGCAGCGATTGTGTAAAAAGCTTGAGGAAAAATTCCTCATTAGATTTGGCAAAACTCTTGCTGCTATCTAGTGGTCATTTTAGACAGTTGCAKGTAAAGACACATGAATAAACTAGTGTCAGAAAGGAATGRCATGGATTTATTTTGAATAAGTGCCAAGCAGTACATTGATTACACAGAAGACATCACCTAAAAGCCATTCAATTTTCCTTTAAACACTTTTTTWAACTTCCTTTAACCTAAACACCATCCTTAAACTTTAGCTGGTAAACTACAGCATTTCTGAGAAAATAATGAAATATACAATAAGAGCTGGTTGAAGGCAGAACGCAAAACAAAAAATAAGAATAAAGAAGGAATTTCTCTTCTAAATAAACTCTTTTATGAAAGTTTTGTTTTTCAGATAACTTTTAAAGTCCCCTTGGGATCTTTGAAGACTTCACGTTTCACAGCTGACTGGACCCAGCTGCCCCTGCTCGGCGAGAGGGGCGGGGCGGGGCGGCCACTCGAAACCACAGACGCATCACTTCCTCGGCTGCTGGATGAAGAAGGTTCGGGGACAGTGGGGCTTCTCCACGGCGGGACAAACCTTGCTGTGCCTCACGCTCACCGGAGTCTCAGGAAAGCTGTGGCTCAGCTGCAAAATGTGCAGAGAGGAGTTATTCTGCTTGGTTAAGAGTGAAATGAGCAGACTTTAAAAAAATAATAATAATAATAAAGGAGGGGAATTATTGTGTACCTTGTCAAGGGATCCTGTGAGAAGTATGCCAACRTGTTGCATCCTGTTGAAGGAGGCGAGGGACCGGCTGCACAGGTTCGAAGCAAACAAAATTAATCTCATTCATTTACGCTCAAATTGCTGCAAATTATTCTGGTCCCACCTTAGTTTCTCAGGCCTCTTGGTTTCCTTCTCTGGAGTCCCATGGGCGGCACCTTCCTCTAAACTCTTCTTCGCCACCCGTTTACCTCCTGCCTTCACTATAAAGAAAAAAAAACATGCATCTCTAATTTAATTGTCTATTGAAATTTTAAAAAAGGACTTCTATGCATTTTCTGCACGTATTGTAATTAAGTCACAGAGGCAACAGGTCCTGGACGGAAACCCCGACATCCCTCTACCCCAGGTCCTCCTGGGGGAATCAAGCATTCAAAATCTCTCAAACCAAGACCAGTACCCCCCATGATCCTAATTCTGAGTTCTATGTGGTCCAAGCTATTCAAACACTAAAGATGATGAAAGTGGACCACATTAAAACAGGAAATCTTGCACCTTCTTTGACCCAGATCAGGCCAGAGAACTTGCTACTGGACAGTGGTTGTTGAGTTTGTAAAAAAAATAAATAAAATAAAAAGGGAGAGAGATAGAGAAAGAACAGGTCACTATCATCCTGTGGACCCACAACCTATCAGTGTTTTGTGTGTGTGTGTGTGTGTGTGTTAGGGGTGTTAGAAAATATCGATACACTGAAATATCGCGATATTTCATTTCCCGATACTGTATCGATATCCCAAAGCCCTGTATCGATTTTTATTAAGGTTTAAAATGTCAACTTTCCTGCCAGCCGTTCATTTTATGTTGTAGTTCAGCCTCTGACCACTAGTTGSCAGCAGTGAGCCAGCCATTTGGCTCCTCCACAGCTTGAGCAAAGCAGAACACAGCTAAATGTATCAAAAACATGTCTATGTAATATTAGAATTTTCTGAGACAATGAATTTTGGTTTTTCGTGTTTTTTTTTTCAGTAAGAGGTTTTTATTTAATAGAATTTTTGGACCCAAAAAATATCACAATATATCGCCTTGTTTACAGTATCGCAATATATCGGGATATATCGTATCGTGACCCCTCTGTCATGATATGTATCGTATCGCCAAATTCTTGCCAATACACAGTCCCTAGTGTGTGCCAGGTGGCAGGTGAGGGTGGTTTCAGGTTGTGTAAAGCAGTGGTTCCCAAACATTTTATCTTCTGACCCACAAAATATCCATGGCAAAAACTTTGTGACCCCAAATATTACTGGTCTGAGTACACAAAATTTGTTCATAATCCTAAAAACAAAGGCTACGCAAATATTTATACTGATTTTGTGTTTTTGTAATAATTATAGGGAAAATATTACATCACAAATTATTTTTATTACCCTTTAAATTGATTTCTGAAGTCACTGGAAAGGGTGTGTGGCCGTGGCTCATTTGRTGAGGACACGTGGGCAGAAGGCCAAGATTGTAAACAACATTAATGCAAAACGTGGATTTATGTGCGCTAGATGCACATTTGTATCCAACTTCAGGCGATATATATACGAGAACAGCAACAGAAATTACAATATTTTTTTTGTCAGATAATTACGAGTGATTAAAAGAGCCGAGAGAGATTTGCAGGAGTAAATAAGTGCATGTTTCACTGAACTGAGGCTGTTGTATTAAACCAAAACATCTACAAACTCAGCTTTGTTTGTGTAAAAGACCCCGATTTATTCAAAACTACAGATGATTTAAAAAAAAATCAGGGGGGAGGGGAGCTTTCTGCCCGTTTGCTGGAGCAGCGCAGAAAAACAACAACGCTTCGAGCCGTAAAACCAGCAGAAAATCACATTTAACGCAAAACTAAAGTTTTTACCTGCAGGCGGGTGACCAGCTTTCAGCACCTCCTTCGCTCCAGATTTAGTTAACTGTTGCACCATTTTGTGAAAAGTTTCCGCAACACCATAAAAAGAGGAAAAAAAGAATAGAGCAACGCTTTGGGTCTGAACGCCCACTCGCTTGTTTTTATGCTCAGGCTTGATGACGCCCAGCAAAGCTGCAGGAAGCCACAGACACGCCTCCTGCGTTTATTTATTTTATTTTATTTTTTTCTGTTTCTCCACCGCAGATGTTCGGACCACATGTGGAGAAAAGGAAACTGAACACAGATGAATATATAAGACAAACAGGCACGCTTGTTTCGGTTTATTTTACAGAGCAGTTTTGATCAAACCTCGAAAAATAACAGGCGATATCGCGAGATTTCACTCAGAGCATCTGTTGTGTATGGCTCCACCAGGCAAATTTTTATTTTTTTTTGCCTGGAAAATACAGCGAATTACTCACCTTTCTGCGCGCTAAGGTGACTCCAAAAGTTAATAAGTCATTGATGCACATTCAGTGATTGTTTCATGAACCATATCCTTTCAGTGTTTCCTGAGATATTTTACTAGCAGGCAAACAAAATTCATGCCAGCAGTTTACGCTAAAGCGTAAGTAAGCATATCAACGAATACATAAACCTTTATGTTTTTGTTGGTCTCAGTCTCAGCTACGACTCCACCAATTTTTACGTAATCATATGTAAAATTCACAGAGTTACAGCTATCTGTGTTTTTTAAGTTCAGTTGGCTGTAGCAGCCATCTTGAAATAGAATGACTCTAAAGCAAAGGTGCCCAAAGTGTGGCCCGTGGGCCAAATTTGGCCCGCTAAGCCATTTGATTTGGCCCACCACCAGTTGTCCTGGTTAGTAGATTGTAATGTGTTTTATGTAGAAACACTATACTGTATTTCCACTTAGTCTTTTCAACAATTGGTCCAACTATACGTACAAGGAGCTGTAGTCAGATAGTCTTAACTCATGGTACTGACTTTCTTTGAATTGTGTTAAGATTAAATATAAAATACAAGTAACTTCAAGAGACATTTATCTTAGATTTAAGTCCAAATCTATATTTTCACACATTAGAAGACCACACATACTCAAAATTTAAAATTATGAAAAGACTCAGGAGCCTTTGCTGCCCGAGCATACGTTGAATTTTCTCCATGTTCTTGGGCTGAAAAATAACCAAACAAACAAAATGTGGACAACTACAATGGCTGCTAGCTTAAATAAAAAAAAATGCAACTTTACTTGAGAAGTATTTGCATTTCATGTATTATATTATTGCACTTGGCCCACCCCACTTAGACTGATTTTAATTTTGGCCCTCAGGGAAAATGGTTTTTAGTTTTGGCCCTCTAAAGGAAAACCTTTGGGCACCCCTGCTCTAAAGGTTAATCAGTTGAAGACATCTATATAGTGATAACTTTCAGGGAGTTTCATTAAAATATGTTCAGCGGTTCACTAGATGTTTTGCTAAAAGACACACAGGCAAAAACACAATCATATACTTTCTGGATTGGGTGATAATTACTGCAAGTGTTATTTTAGGATATGACACCTCTGACACTGGAAAAGTCAACAAAATTGAAATTTTTTGAAAAATGCATTGCCAATAATGTGAAAAAATGAATATATGAAGCAATTGTTATAAAAAAATGTCCTTTAACCTCAACTTTAGTGCTTAATTTTTATAATTTGGTTGGACTTGAGCTATGTTTTTTTTCTTTAAAGTTTGAAACTAAATAAAGTTTTATACTGAAAAGTAAATATTTCCATCACTTCAGTCCCAATGAAATCCATTAGTTTGTGTTTAATCATTTCACACAAGTTCATAAAACTTTAAGCACAATTTTAGCTGTTTTAAAGGTCAGCTGGCTGTGGCAGCCATCTTGAATTGTGTTGACTCCAAAATAATTAGTAGTCGAGGTACATCTCATGATTATTCGTGAGTTTCAATTAAACCAATCCAGTGATTTATGATATATTTTACTAACAGACACGTACACAGCCACAGACAAAAAAACATTATCATCTGTATTTGCATTTTGAACCAAAAAGAGACTTTCAAAAATCAAGAAATGCTGATCATCACAGATAAAATGATGAATGAGATCAGAGGCTTCTGGAACAAGAAGTCAAAGTTCTGAGTTTTGCTGATAAAGTGTCTGACCTCGCAGAGAAGATTCTACTAAAAACAGCTGAGTATCCAACTTTGAAGACCCTCATCATTCATACAGGAAGTGATGAAGTTATGAACCGACAGTCAGAAATCCTGAAGGATTTTATTCAGCTGCTGAATGCAGTTAAAAATCTCAACATGGATGTGTTCCTCAGTGGGCCCGTTCCTACAGCCAGAGGAGGAGCTGAGAGGTTCAGCAGACTGTTGGCTCTTAATGGTTTTTAGAAAAAGTCCTGTGTTGACCACTCTGTGAGTTTTGTGGATAACTTTGACCTCTTCTGGGAAAGAAAACATCTCTTCAGGTCTGATGGAATGACTCTGAATCAAACTGGAGCACAACTTCTGACTTCAAATATGAAGTATTTCCTGAACCAAGTTCTGGCTGGAAACAAACAGGACAAACCACAACAGCTGACGTCTGAAGGACAGCTGGAGAAAACTGAGATATCAGTGGAACACAGCATGCCAGTTACTGATAAGGAGACTGCTCCAGAATCAGAACCAGAGAGAGAGGAGTTACTTCAACCTGCAGAACCAGCATGACAAACAGAGGATCTTTTGGACTCTGAGACCCCAACAGGACAGCAAGTGGAATGCCCCCTCCTGGATTTTACTAACAACATGGAAGAACCTGCGAGGATTAATATCAAACAAACGCCATGTCAAAATCCTGCTAACTCTCCTTTTCCAGCCCCTCGCACAATCTACAAAAAGATTCGCAGATTCCCACAACACCTTCTGACCCTTCCACACATCAAAACAGACAATCCTGTTTGTGTTCAACATGATCCAGAGACTTTTGTGTGATAAGTTAGTTTTGGGGTTAGTAATTACTGTGGGAGGAATAAAAATTGAATTACTG